AGAATGGTGAATTCTTTTGCACAAAAGAAAGTCATTTCAAAAACATTAAAACCAAACATTTTAATGTGCTCACTGAGTATCTGGTAACAAAACAAAAGATGTCTTATTTTAAATCACTTACTATTAAATTAAATGCAAAGCAGGTTATATTTTAATTTGGGGTGAGTGTGTGTATACACACCTGTCATATATGAGGAAGTCATCCTTTTTCCCATTTAACAGCATCCAGACATCTGTTTGGTTTTCTTCTTGTTGATAAACAGGAATATACTCTGAAACCTTATTTTTAAGATGCATATATTTTAATTGAGAAGAAAGTCCTTGATGATTAACAACAACATAAGAGATGTTCAAATATCCTTCTTTCTCCAGTTTTAATCGCAGGTCTTCCAATCTAAAATATTTAGGAAAAATACAAAAAAGGAATAATCTCATTTAATTTATTAGTGAATTCTCTCTCCTCGTTATTTTTTTACATGAAACTCTTTTACTATTTTTTACTTATATCTCTTCTTTATATTGTTGTAAAAAACTAAGTTACGTTTTGTCAGTATTTACCGAGCACTTGTGCTCAGTCAAAACCTTATGCTGACTGCACAAGCAATAGCTCATTTGGTCCTCAAATTAAGTGTATGGTTTTTAATCCATCTGACAGAGATGTATGGTTTTTACATCAAAGTGTATGGTTTTTAATCCATCTGACAGAGAATTCCACCCAATAAATACTTACTGAAGAACCTAACAAATATGTTTGTTATACATATAATTTATATATACATATACATAGATATGTTTGTGAAATGACACAAGACATTTGATGACAAGTCTAGCGTTGATTCTACTCCAGCAAAGCACTCGCATTTGCTTTTTCTATCAAAATAACTAACCCATTTGCAGGATTACATTTTAGAACATTTCATTACACAAGTAATACATATTTAGTAGCACATTATAAAATATAGGTCTACAAAATGAAGAAAATTTTTCTATAATCCCAGGAAAACCGCTATATATATTTTGGTATATATCCTCCTAGTATACTTTCTTCTAACATGTTTTACGCAAACGTATAGTTTTTCTAAAGATGTGATTTCATAAACACATCTTTTCCATTTCTGTGTTTCTTTTATGTACGTACGTATGTGTTCGATAGCTTCCCCCTTGGGAAGTCCTAGAGCACAGAACGGCTCTCACCTGGATGCCTGCAGAATGCACAGGTATCAGCTGGCTTGAAGAAGGGCCACCACGGTCACCGAACCACTTGAGTTCCGCATTGGATTTTGATCTCCTATGCTCCAGGCTGGAGGCTGCTTACAGAAGGAGCTTTGTTCCTGGCTCTCTGCTCCTCCCCATGGGAGAAGACAGAGAGCCAGGGCAAGCCCCAGGCTTCTCCACATTGCTGGGCTTGTCCTGTAACAGAGGAAACCTTGCTGTCATCTTCACAGGCGACCTCACAGTCATAAGCAGGAATTTCTATAAATCCAGCCAGTACCGTTCCCCTTCCTGTCAGGAACTAGCCCGGGGATTCTATCCCAGTGTTGCTGGGCTCATTATGTTCGGCCTCCCCGCACCAAATCTTCCCAGAACAGGTTCAAAAATCAGCCAGAGGCAGGGGAGTGGTCAAACCATCTCTTAACTACCTGGCTTGGCAAGAAACTTCAGGAAGCATGCTGTGGAGATCCGCCTGAACAGGCAGCCAACTACTTGTCTAGAACCTATAAAGGTTGAGAAAAATGTTGAGACTGTGGCCTCTATAACCAAGTAACATTCTGCAAACATATTTTTGTTTTTATTTGAGATGCGGGGCGCCTGGGGGTTAAGGGTCTGCCTTCAGCTCAGGTCCTGATCCCGGAGTCCTGGGATGGCGCCCCAATCAGATCGGGCTCCCAGCTCAGCGGGAAGCCTGCTTCTCCCTCTGCCCCTCCCCCATCTCACGCGTGCTCTCCCTCTCTCTCTCTCTCTCTCTCTCTCACTCTCAAATAAGTTCTGACTGCTGCTTTCCACCCTCCACCAACCTAAGAAAGGAAAGGGTAAGTAGGGGATTCTGCACAGAAAGGAAAAGAGCCAGCATGAAAAGAGAACCCAGGAAGAAAGGAGGTAGCAGTGAGAGCACAGGTGGGGCCCTCAGCTCTGCAGGTTCAAGCATCCTGTATTTCGGAGTCTCCTGGCTTTGGCTCTCTTTTGTTCCTCTTACCCTTTAAAGTCTAGCTCTATGTTAACAATAAAGGATTTGAATCTTTTCAGGTATAAAACCGCCTGCCAAAATGTTACTATCACATCTGAGGTACATATGACCAAAGGAAAAACTCTGACCAAGGAGAAATGTCACAAATCGCTGTCCCTCTACCAAACTCACTGCAGTTTACACTCCGTCTATGGACTGGCTATCATGACTTTCAAGAGGTTTCTGTGACTAGATGGCATGCTCTTGGGGAAAAAGATGCCCCCCCTCTGAGTAGAAAAGCTCAGTATCTGACCAGAAATATCCCCAAACTAAGGCTAACTCTCCTAGCAGAGAGGTACACATAAAACAAGGGATCTGTAAAGAGGTGGTAAAAATAAGGAATACATTCAGCAGAGACGAGCAGTAAAAGAAAAATCCACCCAGGAACAGGCTTATTCTGATACAAAGTCTGTGCAGAGAGATCAGGACAACATTCTCGAACTGGGAAGTTGGCACACTTTCAGGCACTAATCTGGGATAAGAAAGTAAAAATACATTTGGGGGAGGTAGGGAAGGGAAAGAGGGTGGGGGGCAGCAAATGATAAATTACCTAGAGTGAGCCCAGAATTAAGATGAGTGTAGAAAAGCTAGAATCAGATTGACTGGGGCTCTGGTGCACTGGATAGATAGAATTTTTAAAAACCGGACTATCTTTCACATCATTTAATACCACAAAATTCCTACCTATATAGGGTATATTGGTAAGAGCCTAACTAAAAGAGAGGGAAATTAAATGATTGATTAAGGCCATCCCAACTATTCTAATATTTTTAAGATTCTAATATTTAAAAACAGAGGCTGTATCTGGACTAAATCTAGGGCATTTCTTTAGAATGGCATTTATACTGAGGGCACAATGACCCTTATTATAGCTACCACTCACTGAGCATTTATAGAACTCTACACGGGTGGTGCTAAGCACTTCTCTGTCAGCTAATCCTTACAACTATGTGACCGTCACCCCCTTCTGCAGCTCAGGAAACCTTGGCTGAGAGAGAGTTAGGCATCTTGCCCAAGTCCACACAGGTGGCAAATCACAAAAGAGACTGGATTCAAACCAGTTCTGCTAAATCCAAAACATGACCTCTTAGCTATTAGATAGATTACCTCTAACAATTACAGTAGCCAGGGTTTTATTTGTTTATGCCCGAGTATGGCAAAGAGAACATCAAAATAATTCAAGCTGTTTTGTTTCTTACCAGACTGGAGGGAGACCCCCTACTTTCTAGAATATAATTTCAGTAATTACAGAACTTCAGCATAAATTCAGCACTTGGTATCCTCACTTCACCATATACATACCCTTTCAAGGGGCTAAATAGTAAATATAAAGGAAAAGACTTTTTCCCTCATTTAGTTTTTTGGTGAAAAAAGACATAAAGCCATTGGCAGAGGGTAGTGGATTATGGAGTTCTCACACATTTTCTTCTACTATATAATCAATAGGCTGTTCAACTTTTTTTCTTAAGATCATTTTTTGCATAATAAACATTTGATTATAATTATAGCTATCAGATAGCTGTGTAAAAACAATGAAGATAAATAACTCAACTGGAATTATTGGAAGCTGTTGAAAGTAGTTGTAAATTTCACTAATCCCACCACTTTTCAATTAGGGAAATTAGATTTTTGGCCACATGCAGACTTACTTCTGTTTTAAATTCCCCATTAAGAGGCAAAATATGCAGAAACTTTTTCCCTGAACTTCAGGCTGGCATCTGAGGGTCCTTCCTCATTCACCTTAAAGTATCCGCTCACCTTGTACACTGCAAAACCTTGCATCTCACCACAGGCCACCTGGGTTTTAACTCTTTGAAGGGCGACCACTTCCGCACAGTTGACAGACCCTGCTACCCCCACCCCAGCTCTTGCATTGTGTTTTGTTGTGTTGTGTTTTCTGAAACTGTTCACAGTATCCCAGGACATTTCTATAGCCCTGCAGATTGGCCATTTCTCAGTCTCGGCCCTTCAAACCCAGGGGCTGATTTTTCCTGAGAGTTCTCACTCTGCATTTCAGTGGGAGATAGTTAAGCTTGAACACGCAGTATCGCCCATATAACAACACAACTCTTTGCAGAGTCACGGCGTTGGATTTCTCCAGCCTCCTCTGCTCCCATCTTTGTCCTGCGGACAGGGCGGAAATCAGCAAGGACTGCCTCAGGCGGGGCAGAACCTCACCTGCCCCACCCAATTCCACACTCTTCTGTTCTCTTTCTTTTGTATTTTTTTTATTATTATTTTATTTACCCATCTCCCTTTTTAAAACTCTATGCTAAGGACAGAAACATTTTATCAGACTTGAAATCAAATTATTTACCAAGCTCTAAAAGAATCAAGTTTGAATCAAATATTGGAAAACACAAAGTTCCTACTTACCCAACCCCTTCCCAGCAGCCTGCGTCCTCTCTCTTTGCTCAGCTCTGCAGCTCCTCACAGCCAGAAGCCCTGATATTTATAGTCCTGTTGTTTACCTCTCTCCAGCCATAGTCCAAAGTTCATTGCCCACTCTGACTGTGACCTTGCAAGCTGAGCAAACCCTTGAACTGATCATTATAAACCAAAAAAAGTAGCAAGGGCTGCCAAGCATAAAATGGGGAGAAAGGGGTTTTTTCGCAATTACTGATTTATTCCCTATCCTTTTTAGTCACCCCAGTATCTAGGATTTAATGGTACAGTCGGGGGCGGGAGGCAGGGCTAAGGGTAAAAGGGCCTCCAAGTCATGTTCTTTTTCAAACTATCATAGGGAAAAACATTTGCTGAGCCAGCAAGTGAAACTGCAGCTTTTTAAAAAAGAAAAAAAAAATGGGTGGTTATTTTTTTTTTCCTTCTGCTCTGTTGTGGCCAGGTTAGCCCAACCCAGACTGTGTGAGCTTTCTCAGAAAAGTCACCTGCTGTTTCAGAACTTTCTGGTCTCCTGTGGTTACAAACCTGCTTGGATTGTTTTGCTATGTTTAAAACTTGGATCTGTGTGGGATCTCACAGGACCTCTGTGTGGTCATTGAAGGAAAGGAACGAGAAACTAGGCCTCCTAGCTGCGGGAAACCAAGCCTCATATTCTCATCACAGATGTCCTACTCCTTGGAAGGCCTATGTATTCCACAGAATTTTTTAAGAATTGAATGTGAAATATTTACAAAAATAAGTAGCATATAAATAAAAGTTTCTAGTGGTAGTAGTTGGACATGGAAAAGGGTATAGCAATTTCAAATTTTTCACAAATTAAATGAAAATTCTTATTCTTTCAGAAAGGGGTGAATTCTTTCTACTAACTGCTGCATGTGAGCACGCCATGGTATATAAAGTGAGGAGCGCTGTCAAATGATGTCATCCCTGGATAGTGACGGCTTTCAAGTAAGCCTTGCTTTGACTATGAATGCATTTTGTCCAAACAAACCCCTATTGACTGTTGTGTGCTGGGTACGTTGTATCACGTGACCGTAAATACAAAGAGGCTCAGATGTTAGCCTTCCCACAAAGAAACATAGAATTAGAAGCTTGACTTTTGAAAGCCAAAATCTGGGTACTCACACGAAGCAGTAGGTACTAATCATTTTGGGTTCCAGATCCCTTTGAGAAATACTTAATTTCTCCCCGGGGGAAAAAAAATTGTAAATATACAAACTCACTTTTTGAAAGAATCTTGTGAAAAATCTTTGTATAAAGCAGATAGTCCCCTGGTAGCTCATTTCCCAAATTATAGGAATAGTCATCTTGGGTCTGTCTGCAGCAGGAAATCCAGTATTTCCTCATCACTCCTTTCCTTACAAGTGGCTTAGCAGCTGTCTCCTGCCCCAAAAGTTTCCCCCCACGAAGTGTGCATCTAGCTGCAAAGCAAAGGACCCAGGATTGTGTGTGTTCAGGCCAGTGTGTGTCTAAAACCCCGGGAGGCAAAAGGAGAAGATGGGGAGCTTCTGCTATCTGAGGAGAAGCCATTCTTAAAGGCCTCTTCTGTGCCAGGCAACCTGCGACCAGTCAGCATTTTTAAGAAAGCAGAATATTCAAACAAATCTTTATTTGATGTTAAATCCAATTCCATTAAGTCAAATGAAATCAAACAAACATTTATTAGGCGTTTGTGATAGGCACAATTCCCTTGTCCTCAAGGATCTCAAAATCTAATACAATAGACACACAAGTAAGCAGAAAAAGAAAACAAAAACAAAAACAAAAAAACAAAAAACACTATAAAGTGTGATTATGTCCTAAGGGCTACATGCACAAGGTTCTGTTGGAAACTTGGAAATGAAAAAAGGAGTATCTTAACCCAGCCTAGAGATAGGGCCAGCACACTAGATTAGTATACTTCAAGCAAGTTCAACAGGCACGTTCTTAGATTTTACCCTCTACTTCAGAGCACCCAGCAAATCTGACCACAGCACTGTTTGGAAAGCTTTTTTGTTCCAATTTGTATGAATGATTAAAATCTCCTGACCAGGGCGCCTGGGTGGCTCAGTTGGTTAAGCTACTGCCTTCAGCTCAGGTCATGATCCTGGAGTCCCGGGATCGAGTTCCGCATCGGGCTCCCTGCTCGGCAGGGGGTCTGCTTCTCCCTCTGCCCTCTTCCCTCTCGTGCTCTCTGTCTCTCATTCTCTCTCTCTCAAATAATAAATAAATAAAATCTTTAAAAAAAAAAAAAAAATCTCCTGACCAGTTGCTCCAGCCACACCACACAATCGAACATTAAGATCATTGACTGTAGGGGCGCCAGGGTGGCTCAGTCGTTAAGCATCTGCCTTCGGCTCAGGTCATGATCCTGGGGTCCTGGGATCGAGCCCCGCGTCGGGCTCCCTGCTCAGTGGGAAGCCTTCTTCTCCCTCTCCCACTCCCCCTGCTTGTGTTCCCTCTCTCGCTGTGTCTCTCTCTATCAAATAAATAAATAAAATCTTTAAAAAAAAAGATCATTGACTGTATTCTTGCACGTTCAGCTTCATCCTAATGATCTCGTCTCTTAAGGCTTCCAACCCTGAAGCCAAGAACTTTCTTCATACTGTCTCATTTCTTCCCCAATCTTATTATTTGTCCCCAGAATGTTTATGCATTTATTTAAGCCATGTTTGTAATAAGCATGCTCACTGTTTTATAGGTAGAAGATAATTTCCATGGAGGATAGAATCTGAGTCCAAGATATACTTAAAAGAGAGATGAGCTATGAATATGATTTTATAAATCAGTTTATTAGCTATAGCAGTTGATCATACGGCATTGATCCATTAACATTTATAAAACACTGACGTCTCAAAATATTAGAAAGTGAAAGACTGCTATTACTGTGTAAAATATTAGTTCCCTTAGCTTGGTTGTTAGGTGGTGTTTTACATGCAAAGGGAAATGAAGACCCTTCCCAGTATTGGGGGAAATAGCACCTATTGAGCTGAATGAATCTTCCTTTCCCTTGCATGTATAAGAAGGTGCCCTAGACTTTATCTTCTGCATTGTTCCAAATATAATATTGTTTGAGCATCCATGTTGAAAGATAAGCCACTGAGTGTGGAAGAGATGTCTGGGAAAAAGCAAGATGTTTTCAAAGGAAATGAGATAAATGAGAACAGTGGTCAGAAGAAAGCATAGAAACAGCAGCTTTGGTTACGTAAGGACGAACCTGATCCTTTGAGATCCATATGAAACTGAACTATGCTTTGACGGGAGCTTCTCTTCAAGCTCACAAGTTTACAGATCTGAGAACTGTTTGGTATATGAAACACAAATCGTTAGGGAGGCACAGTGCCAAATTTCATGTGGGACTGAGCACATTCGGAGAGTAATAAACACCAGACAAATTTTGCTTGAAATAGGATGTTATTGTCCCGCATCGGGCTCCCTGCTCAGCAGGGAGTCTGCTTCTCCCTCTGACCCTCCTCCCTCTCATGCTCTCTGTCTCATTCTCTCTGTCTCAAATAAATAAATAAAATCTTTAAAAAAAAAAAAAAAACATTCAGTTTCGGGGCGCCTGGGTGGCTCAGTCGGTTAAGCGACTGCCTTCGGCTCAGGTCATGATCCTGGAGTCCCGGGATCGAGTCCCGCATCGGGCTCGCTGCTCGGCGGGGAGTCTGCTTCTCCCTCTGACCCTCCTCCCTCTCATGCTCTCTGTCTCTCATTCTCTCTGTCTCAAGTAAATAAATAAAATCTTTAAAAAAAAAAAAAAAGAAAAAAAAAAGAAATAGGATGTTATTAATTAAAACAAAAAAACTTGTCAAAACCAGAGCTAATGCCCACAGCCCCTCATGGGATGCAGTCTTAGCATCAACATACAAGGCGCATGTAGGGGCCTCAAAGGGCCCCCAAATGACATAATCCCCTGAATTAATGAAACACACATTCGTAGAATACGCCGCTTGTGTTTTGACCGACAGCAAAACCAGGTACATATTTAAGTTTTATAACACATTTGCTAATTGGTAGAATTTTGAGGGTTTTTTTTTTAAAAAGCTTAGTTGTTAGGCTTTTTTTTTTTTGAACAATGAGGTTAGTATTAATGATTTCTAAAATATTCATTGTTTGAAAAAATAACAGGGAATAACATATTAGCTAATTTTTACAGCGTTTCAATTAACATGGAATTTTTAACACTATGATGACATACCAAGAATCACATACTCTGAGAAATCAATGTTCAATTAATTTATTTTAGCTTATCTTTTAAAATATTAGTATTGTTTCTCTTTTTTTATTTTTATTTTTATTTTTTTTAAGATTTTGTTTATTTATTTGAGAGAGAGAATGAGATAGAGAGAGCATGAGAGGGGGGAGGGTCAGAGGGAGAAGCAGACTCCCTGCTGAGCAGGGAGCCCGATGTGGGACTGGAGCCCGATGTGGGACTCGATCGGGACTCCAGGATCATGACCTGAGCCGAAGGCAGTCGCTTAACCAACTGAGCCACCCAGGCGCCCATTTCTCTTTTTTTTAAAGATTTTATTTATTTATTTGTCAGAGAGAGAGAGAGCACAAGCAGGGGGAGCGGCAGAGGGAGAAGCAGGCTTCCCGCTGAGCAGGGAGCCTGACGCGGGACTGGATCCCGGGACTCTGGGATCATGACCTGAGCCGAAGGCAGATAACCAACCACCTGAGCCACCCAGGCGCCCCCTTGTTTTTTTAAGCCTTGCAGAAGTATCCTCTGTGTTTTAGAGTGGTGTCCACCTGACAATGGCTGCCCTGAGACTCTAACCCACACACAGCTGTTGAGCTCAGAGAGGTGCTTAGGAGATTCTTGGGTCAACTGCAGCCACACTAGGCAGAGGTCATGTGGGAAAGTGATGTCCTGATTCACACCATCCGCCCTGTATTACAGGTACGGGGGGGGGGGGCAGTCCTCTTGGAAGAAAAAGCATGTGGATGTCGAAGTTAACCAGCATTCCAACTAAATGTGTGGCTTTGATCAAGGACTCTTCCTGTGAGTCTAGTAACTTTTAGAAAACTGTTTTTATAAAAAGAATGTTCCTGGTAAATCTGGCAGTTATTTTGCACTATAATAATATTGATCAATCCTTAAGTCATTGTTTAGATTGGTATTTGGAGTAGATTTTATGGAAAATTTTCCTAAGCGTCCCATCTAGTGTTCCCAAAATCTAAAAGGAAATGCAACTCTGGTTCCTAGTCTCATATTTTCTTGCCCTTTCTGTTTAAATAAATAAATAGGGCGCCTGGGTGGCTCAGATGGTTAAGCGTCTGCCTTCAGCTCAGGTCATGATCTCAGGGTCCTGGGATCGAGTCCCGCATCGGGCTCCCTGCTCCTTGGGAGCCTGCTTCTCCCTCTGCCTTTCTCTCTCGCTCTCTCATGAATACAAAAAAAAAAAAAAAAAAAAAATCTTTAAATAAATAAATAAATGGCCCTTGCCCTTTCTGTTTTTTCCACTAGCCATTACCAAACTGCACTTCAGAGTGTATCAGATTATACTCCCACCCTAAAGTACGTCGCAGCACTTGTTTCAACGTCATCAGACTGTTTTGATTTGAGTTTATTTCGTCATTGGTAAGTGTACTGACTGATTAGTTTGCATCAGCTGCCAGAACCACGTGCCACACACTGGTTGGCTTAAGCCTCACAGATGTATTTCCTCACAGTTCTGGAAGCTAGAAGTCCAAGTTCAAGGTGTCAGCAGAGCTGATCTCATTCTGAAACCTCTCTCCTTGGTTTGTGTGGCCGTTTTCTCTCTGTTCTCACATGGTCTTCCTCTGTATGTGCCTATGTCCTAATCTCTTCTTAAGAGGACACCACTCGTGATGAATTAGAGCCCAGCTGAGTGACATCATTGTACCTTAACTACCTCTTTAAAGGCTCTATTTCCGAATCTAGTCACATTCTGAGGTACTAGAGGTGAGGACTTCAACATATGAATTTGGGAGAACACAATTCAGCCCATTATATCGACCATTTGTATGTCCTCTGTGAAATGCTAGCTCATGCCAGCTGGCTATTTTACTATTAATTGGTTCCCCTTTTAAAATTTATTACAAACATTATTTGTATATTAAGGAAATTATGCTTTCTCTTTGTGTTTTTCTTTGCTGTTTTATGTATCAACTTACATACATGCATCTTTTTTTAAAAAAAGATTTTATTTATTTATCTGAGAGAGAGAATGGGAGACAGCATGAGAGGGGGAGGATCAGAGGGAGAAGCAGACCCCCTGCCGAGCAGGGAGCCCGATGCAGGACTCAATCCAGGGACTCCAGGATCATGACCTGAGCTGAAGGCAGTCGCTTAACCAACTGAGCCACCCAGGCGCCCCATACATGCATCTTTTAAATTCTGGCTCATTAACAGTATAAGTCTAGGTGCAGAAGGGATTTTACTTCTCTTGTGCCCTTAAAATACCAAATAGAAGCATGACACCCCAGTTTTTCTTGGGGTTTTCAAAGTAGGTTTTGCGATAAGAGAGTTTCAATGTAATGTTGGTAGCAAGAAGACCTCTTAGCTATACGGAAAGCCGGTACTCGTATTTAGCTCTAGGTTCTCCTCTGTTACGGCCTCGTTATTAACCCTCTCAATATTGCTGGAGCAAGCGGTCCTTAAAATGGGCATTCTAAAACATTCTAAAAAGAAAGAAAACAGGAGGCCTGGGTGGCTCAGTCCTTAAGCGTCTGCCTTCGGCTCAGGTCATGATCCCAGGGTCCTGGGATCGAGCCCCACATCGGGCTCCCTGCTCGGCGGGAAGCCTGCTTCTCCCTCTCCCACTCCCCTTGCTTGGGTTCCCTCTCTCGCTGTGTCTCTCTCTGTCAAATAAATAAATAAATAAAATCTTTAAAAAAGAAAGAAAGAAAGAAAACAACAGTCTGTGGAACCAGCTGTCTTTTTAGGCAGATAAATAATCATCTATATGGTTTAGTTTGAGAGGCACAAAAAAACTTCCTCTGTACCTCACGTGCTCCCAGTAAACCTGTCCTTGACTCCAGGAAGTGCTGGGATATAGCAGGTGGCAGTAGGGACGAAGCTTACTGTCAGCACAGTAACTCAGCACTGGGACGAGGTCATGGGCCTAAGGAAATGAGGCCCAGGAGGGCCCAATAATGAAACTTAGAGCTCAGAACCGTGGAAAATAGAGAGTCACGTTGTCATCATCAACCACTATTTATCACGCCTTTCCTGGGTGATGTTGTTCACCGAAGAGACACATGGTCCCTGGGTCTATGGGAATCCTCATGTGAAGAGGGGAAGAAATTGGGTAGAGAATGTTCCTTCTGGAGGCAGAGAGTAAACAGGAGACATACGGCTCCACAGTTCTCCCTGGAAACTGGAACTTTAGTACCCTCTGTTCCAGTTTTCCAACTTGTATAACAGTATCTATGGTTTTTTGTTTTTGTTTTTGTTTTTGTTTTGACAGAGAGAGACACAGCGAGAGAGAGAGCACAAGCAGGGGGAGTGGGAGAGGGAGAAGCAGGCTTCCCGCGGAGCGGGGAGCCCGATGCGGGGCTCGATCCCAGGACCCCGGGATCATGACCTGAGCCGAAGGCAGATGCTTAACGACTGAGCCACCCAGGCGCCCCAGTATCTACGGTTTTTTACCACCGGAACCTAGAATCACACACTGTCAGAGAAGGGGGACATCACCCTAGGCCAGTTCATCCCCCTCAGTGACGAATAAGGGAGCAGAGCCCCCATTTAAATAAAATGACTTCTCTCCATTGGGAAGGAAGGGGAGGAAGGCGGGAGCAGATCAGATGGGTAAAAGGAGGTGTTAGCTATTTGAAACACTATTGGCAATTCATCAGTAATTTACAATTAGAACAAGCGATATACTGGATTTCCCTTTTTAAATGAAACACAGGTTGTGTAAATAGGCATCTGTTTCAGTCCTAAGATCTTCCATAGTTATGTAATTCAAAAATATAAATATTCAAACAAAGTAACCAATAGCAGAATATATACTTTCCCCAATTAGAGAATTAATGGGAAAATGGCATTTTTGAAAAATGACTCCATGATAACTGTTAAAGCAAGTTTTGACCTTTTGGTCAATAGCTTAATCCTGAATACATATTTGGGCAGGATTATCTAATCATTAATGCACATATTCTAGCCTTTAAAAGAAGCATAGGGGCGCCTGAGTGGCTCAGTCGGTTAAGCGACTGCCTTCGGCTCAGGTCATGATCCTGGAGTCCCGGGATCGAGTCCCTGCTCGGCAGGGAGTCTGCTTCTTCCTCTGACCCTCCTACCTCTCATGCTCTCTGTCTCTCATTCTTTCTCTCTCAGATAAATAAATAAAATCTTTAAAATAAAAATAAATAAAATAAAATAAAAGAAGCATAAAAGTGTGTGTGTGTGCATGCACATGCACATGAGCACGACCACACACACATGCACTGAGTGTGACTCCAGAGTGAGAGTAAACAGAAGACATGCACATGAAAAAGAGTGGGAAGATATATTCAGAATTAGCAGTGGTTCTCCTTCAATATAAGGGTGATATTTAGTTCTTTGTGCTCAGTTGTTTTTTTCTAACAAGTCTACAATAGTAACGGCTGTCGTTTATCACGTGCCAGCCACGACCCTAAGTCTTTTCCAAACCATAGCTCACTTCATCCTCAAGCAGCATGGGACCCATGCTTTATAGATGGCATGAGGCAATGAGATGTTGAGTAGCCTCCCCCAGATTTGGATCTAGAAAGTAGAAGAGCTGAGATCAAACTCATCAGTTCCAGAGCTCAATGGTTCAACTGCTACAATAAACATGAATTTACTTCTCCTTGTTAATGTGTGTGTATGTGTGCAGTCGACCCTTGAACAACATGGGTTTCAACTTCACGGGTCCACTTGTTCGCAGATACATTCGCAGTACTGCACTGTATTTATCAAAAGTATTTTCTCTTCCTTATGATCGTAACATTTTCTTTTCTCTAGCTTACTTTATTGTAGAAATACAATATATAATACATATACCAGACGAAATACGTGTTAATTAACTAATTTATCGGTAAGGCTTTTGGTCAACGGGAGGCTATTAGTAGTCACATTTTTGAGGGGAGTCATAAGTAATACAGACTTTCAATTGCACGGGGGTTAGCACCCCTAAACCCCTCATTGTTCAAGGGTCATCTGTGCGTGTTTGGCTGTATTTAAGGCGAGGCGCATGTATGCTGAGACTTGGGGTATGTTGAAATAAATGCATGACACCTAAAGCATAATCTCCTCCAGTCCCATCCATGCAAGTTGGTACAGCCACTTTGGAAAACAGTGTGGAGGTGCATCAGAAAATTAAAAATAGAGCTACCCTATGACCCAGCAATTGCACTCCTGGGTATTTACCCCAAAGACACAGATGTAGTGAAAAGAAGGGCCATATGCACCCCAATGTTCATAGCAGCAATGTCCGCAATAGCCAAACTGTGGAAAGAGCCGAGATGCCCTTCAACAGATGAATGGATCAAGAAGATGTGGTCCATATATACAATGGAATATTACCCAGCCATCAGAAAGGATGACTACCCAACTTTTACATCAACATGGATGGGACTGGAGGAGATTATGCTAAGTGAAATAAGTCAAACAGAGAAAGTCAATTATTTATGTTATTATTATTTCAGTGTCAGGACTGACAGTTCTCATGACCCTGAAGGCTTAACCAGGCCGATGAAATGAGCCCAGACCACTGTTCCTACCTTATCTCCCACCATGCCTCAGGGTGGCTCCTCTGTTCCAGCCTGAGGGCCTCACTTGCCTCTGGCACTCAGCCCCCCCACACACACCTGCACCTTTGTCAACACCATCCCCTGCCCCGAGGGCCTTTTCCTCTGCTCTCCAGTTCAGATCCTAGCTCAGGGTTAGAAGGTCAGGCTCCGGAATCAGATTGCCTCTGTGGGTGTCCAGCTTTTCTACTTACTAACTACACGACCCAGGGCGAGATACTTAACACTTGGTGCTTAGGTTCTCCCCTGTGTAGACAAGAATAACAGTATTCTCGTTGGAGGCACTCTGGCCCCTATCCCACATTTCCTTCCTCTCCCTCGGTACACAGCTCTGAAGTTTGGGTGCAGCTCTGTGCTCAGGCTAAACAATAAAAACCAAAAAGCCTCCATTTCTCAGCCAGTCCTGCCGCTTGGAGGTCTCTACGACACAGCTCTAACCAATGGGATGGAGTCTGAAGTCTGCTGGGGACCCCTAGGGCAGTTTTTCTTTCCACTTATGAACACTTGTGGTTTTCTTTATCTTTCTGCTGGGATGCCAGTGTAATGCCTGAAGTGGATCAGCCACTTTACACCAAGGGGATAGAAACCACACCTAAGCCGGTGGAACGGGAAGCTAGAAAGAGCTGGAAGCTTGATTATTTCTCAAGCACCTGCGTCAGCCCCAGACTGCCTGGCCCTGGACTCCTTCTTATATGAGGACAAATAAGCCTCCACATCATTATGCTGCTGTGGTCGGGTTTCTGTTACCTAACAGCCTCATACAGTTGTGGGGATTGAATAAGAAAATACATGTACGCACTTGGCACAATGCCTGATTTAGCGAGTGCTCACAAAGTGTTTGTTGGT